TTTTTTTTTTTTTTTTTTTTTTAGTTGGAGTCTCCCTCCTTCGCCCAGGCTGGAGTGCAGCGGCACGCACGCTCACAGCCACCCCAGCGTCGATCTGCTGGGATCCAGCGATCCTTCCGCCTCAGCCTTCCCTGTAGCCGGAACTATGGCACATGCTACCACGCCCGGCTCATTTTAAAAAAATTTTATTGTAGAGACGAGGTCTCGCCAAGTTGCCCGGGTGGGTCTCGAACCCGCGTACTCAGGCAATCCACTCGCCTCGGCTTCCCAAAGGGCTGGGATTACAAGCTGAGCCACCGGGCCCGGCCTTATTTATTTATTTTTTTTTTAGTTTTATTGTAGAGACGAGGTCTCGCCAAGTTGCCTGGGCTAGTCTCGAACCTGCAGACTCAGGCAATCCACTTGCCTTAGCCTCCCAAAGTGCTGGGATTACAGGCTGAGCCACCGGGCCTGGCTGCATTTCTCTTTTAGATACATTTATATTTATTTTTTAAAGCAAGTCAATTTAAAGAAAGAGATGGGGAGTCAACAGTAGGTTCCCAGATATGGCTGAAACCAGTACTTGGGAACTGCAGTTTGGAAAACATTTCCCTGGGGCCGCTGGAGCCCGTTTCGCATTGGTAAGTCCCCACCAGTGGTCACCAGTGTGCCAAGCCACACCTTCATGCCAAAGAGGACTCTGTTATTCTTGTCCTGGAGAAGGGTGAGGAAGGGGCCACAGGCAGGTGTGGCTGCTGGGTAGGGTCCCTGGGCCAGACTCCCACCTGTTCTCCAGATGCACCCTTATCTTCTGGCATGGAAGGGGGCCAGGCTTTGCATTTCCAGCACCTAGAGGAGCACCTGGCACTGCCAGATTGCTTGGGAACTGTGCACAGCATGCTGGTGCATGGCTGGATGAATTAGTGGGAAGCTCTGATACACTCTTTTTTTCAGATGCTCAGACCCCAGGGAAACTGACTCTACTAGACACACAAACATTACTGTACATTGCTTTAATTCAGCCTTGCCCCCATTGGGAGCCACTAGATGTTAACAATGCTTTGTGGGGACAAAAGTTTCTGTGGTCAGGTCCATTTGGACACTGCGTACATCACCTCCTCTTGGAGACCTACAGCGCACATTAGCACATTCAAGGCTCTGAGAAGGTTTGCAACAGGGAAATCTGTTCATTCCTGTAAGTCAACATTTCTCAAAACACCTTTTCAAGCAAGCTTTGCTGCTTTCATTCTATTAAGTTCCATCTGGTTTAATAATGACAGATGGAATTCAGGAAGTTCTGGCTGGGGAGACCTGGCTCAGAAGAGGGGCAAGAGGAAGAAAAAGGCAAGGAGACAGGTCGCAGTAAGACTTCCAATAAGTCCCTCCCTGGTTCTTTCCCTTCTCTTGGAGATCTTCCTACAAGAGAGGGTTAAGAAGGTTAGGGTAGGGATGGCGGTGCAGGAGGACTGGGTATTTGAGGGCCCTCTGATTGGCATAGGGCTGGGCATTTGGGGAGCATGTGCAGGAGAAATAAAGGAAAGGGAAGAGTGAATGTGGGTGGGAGTGTTTTATGAACAAGGCTGTTCTTGTCAGCCTGAGGCGGGTCTAGAGGTCAGTTGAGGCGGCTGAAGTTGCCCACGGCAGCACACCCAGCCATTGTCAGGACTGGGGAAACAGAACACAGTCCCAGGGAGAGAATCCCCCCAGCACACCATCAACGGGGGTGCGGCTTCAGGGTGTGCCCCACAGCCCAAGCCACACTAACCTGTCAGTGGGACTGTGCCCATCGGGGTGTAGGCTGGTTCCCATTCTGTCTGGTTTTCTGGCTCAATGGTGAAGTCTGGGACTGTGGTCATCTCCTCCAAGGTGACAGTGGTCGTCTCCTCCCCCAAGGGGACAGCAGCCACTCCAGGCACCACTTGGGTAGCGACCCAGTCCTCCACACTAGAGGGCTGTGTGGGTGTGCCACCCTCCTCTTCTCCTGGAGATGGCACTGCTGAGACACCTGAAGGGGGTATGGATGGTGAAGGTCCCTCCCTTACCAGTGACCCATCCCAGGCTGGCTCTTCTTTTTTTTTTGAGTTGGAGTCTCACTCTGTTGCCCAGACTGGAGTGCAGTGGC